GAGACTGTGGAAAAGTTATTTTCTGACATACTAATTGTAAAATGTGTCGTAATTGTAAGTTGAAATTCTCAACAAGAATTTCCCAATTATAACGAATAACGAGGGGGTAACCATTTAATGCAATCGTGGAACAGAATGCTCGAAATCATTATAAAATTTATATAAAATCTCTATGTATAATCCGATAATTACTTATGCACGAGAAATTATTGTATAATATTAAATAAAATCGTATATTTTACCAAATTACTTCATAGTAATGAAAAAAATTATTTGTAATTGGATGAAATCATGTAATCTGTGGGACAATATTTTAGCTAGTGATTACTCCCTCGGCGAATTAATAAGCTTATTCTTTTTTTTTTTTTTCAATTCTTTCACGACTTACGATTTAGCTTATGTCGCTAGGAAATTGTAGGTACATGGAATAATAAAGTTATCAACGGTGGAATATAAAGTGTTCCAGTTTCAACGATAGTATTAATTTAGATAAGTCTTAATGTTCCTACGTCTCAGGTAAATATGCACGCTGCACGCGTTAAAGATGTGAATTTTAAGTAAGTGATAAGAGATTATAGCGAGAGAGAGAGAGATATTTGTTGCATTAAATTATCTACTTTAATTGAAAAGATAAAACATTAGTAAAATTAATTAATATCCCTATTACATGGAAAAAATAATTTTGTTGAAAGATCTAAATTTTGCTGCATACAAATCTGAAAAATAATTTTATTGGACCATCAAAATAATTTTGTTGGAAACTGGTTGTTAAAATGTCAAAATTTTTTATTGCTCATCATTTTTCAGTTTTTTAGTCTCAGCATTATATCACTTTTTTTAGTCTCAGCATAATTATTTTCATGGTCCAATAAAATTATTTTCAGATATTCAGCAAAAATTTAGATTGTTCAGTAAAATTGTTCTCTTTGTGTATTCGAACGACCCATGATTTTTTCCAAAACGATCCTCTTCTACCTTTGGTTAGAAATTCAGGCTGTCGAGACCGATCGCTTGTGGCCTGGCGTGGCCTCCAAGCGAGTACCGCTTTTCTGGCAACCTGCCAGAACTTATGCCAGGTTTCAACATACCGGCCGACATGAGTATTTTCGGTTTCGCGGCGAAACGACGACGGCCTGTCTCTCTTTCTGTCTTTTCCCGCGTCTCTCTATCCGTCCCTCTTTCGATACGCTTCTTTGAGGGAAAACGAAGGGACTGCTATTAGATCGACAAGTAGACGAATGGTGTTTTCGTCGACAAACAACTTCACCAGCGATCCGAACCAGTTAGTTCAATTTTCGATGCTGCAGTCCAGAAGTCTTGTTTACTATTCTTCGTTTTATACAGGGTGTCCTAGGAGAAAAGGTCAATATTCTGAGAGGTAATGGTATCTATTATTTTAAGTAAAAATGTTCATATAAATGTGTCCTATTCTGAACGGTTTCTGAGATAATTTGAGAACAATGAAATTTTTGAAAATTTATTATAAGATTCAAAAAATATGTCACTTGATTTAATAAATTACAAAAAGATACGTATTTCTTTCTTTTAACATTAATTTTGTATATTCAGTTTCGAAAACCTATCGAGAATAGGATATACGTTCACATGAATATTTTTGCTTAAAATGATCGATACTATCACCTCTTAAAATATTAATCTTTCCTTCTGAGACACCATGTGTAATATCGAAGTTTGAACTGAAATTATACTGGTTTTCGAACTCCTCCTCTATACGCTGGTCAGACACTTGTCGAAGCACAAGTGTAAATGTTTAATTAGCGTTCGACACGATGGCGACGTTTTATTAGTCTCGTGATAAACCACTTTCATCGCGCTAGTATATATCACTTAATTATCATTGTATCGATGGGATATACGTTCGGCCTTTGGTAGATCTATTTTTTAAGAGTGTAAAAAAATGATAAATATTAATGACAAATATCAAGTATAAAAAGACAAGTAATAATTTAACATTAGAAGTATTAACGTTTCTTACTGAGCACTGAAAGGTTAAATTACCGAAAAGAATAAATTACCGAAAATAAAGAAAGTGATAAATAGACATCGGATTATATGCATTTGCATATTTGCATATAGTCAGCAGCATTTTGCATATAATAATAATTGTTTTATTGAAAGTGCATATTTTTGTATAAAACGCCAAAACTTTTACAAATATAGTAATTTGAAATAGGCGCGTAAAACGCGCACTTTAGAAATGATGGCTGGTATTCATAGTCGGTTCTTATTTCAAGACCGTCTTAAGTAAGATAAAATTAAATAAGATAAGCGTCACAAATTTCAAATTGAAAATTTAGAAAAGTGTATTGTAGTGTATTGTCATAAGAATTATAAATTATAATATAATGTAATTAATTAGTTGTAAACGCTTATGTTTCGTTGATTTTTAAATTCTTATGTTTCGTTGATTTTTCCAATATTTTGCTGTAATTTGTTTAATTTAAAGAGATAATTTGATTTGGATTAGTTCAATTTGACATTAAAGTAATAAAATATATATCTTAAATTAAGTCGTTTCGTTTTTAGTAATGCATATTTTATGCATATTTTGGTCTTTTTTAATACATATTTTAACACTTTGATTATGCATATAATCCGATGTCTAGTGATAAAAAATCAAATATTTCATCAGTCAAAAAAATATAATTATTGAAAAGTCAAAATTCAAAATCCTGTCTTTTACAAGAGAAATGTAATATTGATCTAAAAAATTAAAACATTCAGTAATGACCTTGGTAATTCCAGTGTTAATAACTGGATTCATCAAAAAGAGAGCTTTACAATTGTTGTAAAATTTTTTAATATGTTTTATCGTTAGTTCCTCACTGGAGATCTAAATAAATTAATCATATTAAATAATCTTACAACACAGTTGCAAAGCTCTTTTTTTTGCTAAACGTGCAGCCATTGTCGCTATTCGTTATAAGCATTAATAATAACTCTTCTAAAATATATTTAGTTTTCATATATAGATAGATAAGCAAGCAATAGCTGAGCTAATCCGAATGCAAAGTCATTTATTAACAGTCCTGTCGGCCGGAAATAATAAAAATTATCCTCACTGTTAATCATTATCGTCTGTTAGCTAATCTGTCAATGGTATATAAAGAAAAAGGTATTTATACAAATGTAACTACATATTGAAACGCGAAGCATTAGTATCAAAATAATGTTTCCGTGTTGAAAGTTGATGTAAGTATACAGCAGACTATTTTTAGAGATAAAGATTGCCTTATCAAATTAATCTTGCATAATTATAGACGGTGTTTGATATTGCATATAAACAAAATGTACTGAGAAAAAATGTATTAAATTTTAATAAATAGATATTTATTTGAATAGAAACAGCACTAACTTAATATTTACGGTAAATAAATCTTAGTAAATTTAGTAAATAAATATTTATTAATAATTTAGTAAATAAATATTTACTTAAAAAAAGTCAAATTAAGGGTTTTTGTGTAAAAAATAATTGTGTATTTATATTTAGGAAATATTTAGCTAGTATTATTCAAACAAATACTAAAATTTAGTACATTTTTTCTTGATGTAAAAAATTATTTTTCGGTCGCTTCTTATCGTTTGAACGAAAATTTTTATGTCACTGAACGTATGTTTCTTTGAACGAGGTATGCATAATGTGAATCAATATGATAATGTTCAATAATCCCTCAAGATAATCTTCATGTGAGTTGCGATAAATGACAATTTGAGTTAAATTTGGTGAGTGCACAAGTATAAATATATAGACGCAATATTCAATCAGTAGAATATATATAGAGAGATGACGTCGTTATAGGGACGTAGGAGATTACATTTGAAATTATTGGCTGAAATTATGCAAAGACGATCGTCTACGGAATAATTTTATCGAATCTAAATCAGCTACCTACATCTGAAAATTATTGTTTAAGAAAGCAGAGATCGATTTGGAGATAATCGAAAGAACCTATCTAAAATATCGTCAGCTCGGGAACGTAATTTGCATACGCGTCGCATACGCATGCACTTATCATTCACAGTTGGCGGCGCGGCGGGGCAAAACACACCGTCGCGACGCGTCTTGCGTCTAGTCCTAGAGTTGCTAGGCGAAATAGTCACGCGGTACGCGCATACATGCGTGTGCAGACTCGTCATTAGCACGACTATCATTAGCCGGCAAGGCCGCGTTCAGGGCTGTCGACGGATGGCCACGTACCCCTGCGCTTAGTGCGTCTATTTCTCAGGAGGCTCGGGTTTCACGCTGTGTGACGGACAGCACAATTTCGATTAATCTCACGATCCTGTTTCTTTCCTTCGCGCTGTTACGGTACAAACGGACAAGGAATTAAGAACGCTTGTGTAGAAAGACAATTGTAATAACTAATACAGCGTATACAAAGCGCCAGAGTAAAGAGTACAATATAAATACATAAAATCTCGAAATTTGTGTAGAGATGTAACATGCATATATATATATATATATATATATATCGTAATAACAATTTATATATCTGAAAAATTAAATTTTGATGTCTAGAGATATTTCGTATCGAAAGAACTAGCGAGTAATTTCTTCACTGTGATCTATGCACACATTGGCCGCGTTCAGCAGAATGCTTAACATTTTACAGCTGTTGGAAGTTTCCTTCGTGCCGATTGGATTATAATTTTAGAGATAGAAGAATAATTCTACATTAAAAAATGCTAATGCTCTTTAAATTTTAATAAATATTTGTTTGAATAGCTAGTTAAATATTTACTAAATGCAAACATATATTTCTTTTTGAATCATTAATTCGTGAGTTAATTATCATTTTTTTATTGAGTGAATATTTATTCACTGCAAGTAAATATTTAGTTAATCTTATTGAACAAAATAAGTATTAAGATTTAGTGCATTTTTTCCCAGCTAAGAAAACAGTTGTAAAATAAGTGTTCTGCTGAAAATGCGGTTATTATTCCCAATTCTTGGAAAAAAAATCATTTCTTATTGATTTCTAAATATCGGACGTGTTTAACGTCTGAGAATTTTGAAAAGAGTTTTGTGAGTGTTGTTCGATTGAATGCACGGATGCAGAAGATTCGCTTTTGTGAGGATCCTCTTTTCTGTCGGTGTCGTTTCTTGGAGACTCCGGAGACGTCGCCTCCATTTGCATCTCGCTAGGATTAGCGCGTGTTCTAGCTCTTACTCCTCTTCTACTTCTGCTTCGTGTTCTCCTCCTTCGACGTCTGCGAGAGGTACGTCTGCCCCTCCTCGATCTGGCGCGTGATCTGCGTGGTCTGCGGCGGCGACTTCTTCCTCTTCTTCGCCTAGTTCTGCTTCTCCTTCTCCTCTCCCTCTTTTTCCTCTCCATCTCTCTCCTCTCCCTCTCCTTCCTTTCCCTGTAATATCTCCTTCTCCTCGCCTTCTCTCTTTTCCTTTTTCTCACGCCGAATCGCCATGGTTGTGCTGGACAAGGTTCCATCACTCCGTCACCCGTGCCATTCCCTAACGAGAGCTGTCTGAGGTAGTCGTGATCGCACGAATAGTATCCTCTAAGAAGAACGTCAGAATGTTTTAGTATCATAGTAATCACTATTTAATAAATTATTAGGTGTTAAACTTAATTCCTGCCGTTTTTCGTATCCAAAATTGATTTGTTTCGAAGGGAAATACCTTAATCAAAGTATTATTAATAAAGTATTATTAATTAGTGATAAAGTAGAAAATGGAGGAAATTACTTTGATTAAGGTTTTCATTCATCTTTCCTTCGAAACAAATCAATTTTGGAGACGAAAAACGGCAGGAATTAAGTTTAACACCTGATATCATAAATCATTACAGTTGCCTTCGCATTTGACATCCTAGAACTTTTGTCAGAAAAGACTTAGATATAAATATCGAGCAAAACGCGTACCGAGCGTACTACAAACAGCAGAATTCTTTTCTTAAATATATATATTTAATTACTCATAGTATTCAGAGGTCAGACTTAAAGTCTTCTTAATGACTTTAAGTGAATGAAATTAAGTGTCTTCATCAACGTATGTTACATTACATCAACTACATAGGGTGTGACACCGCATGGTTACTTGATCGAGTAAATATTGTGTACGTAACACGATCAAAATATTTTTTTTATGAAGTGGGTCACGTATTGCCCTCGTAATTGTGACATAATCTATTGCGCTTTATTTTTGACCCAGTGGCTTTATCATTGGCATATTGATAAGCGAGTTTTTGTACTGCAGAAAACATAACATCGTAAATATGTCCAAAGTATTACGCGAGACTTGATGCCTCTCTCGTAATTTCTCATAATTCTCGAGAAGTCAAAACGTAGCACTTAATTTCCAAGATAACTTCCGTGAATAAAAAGTTTAGTGTTAAACTTGTCTAATTGAATATTAAAAATAATGTCAATGCAAATTGTGTAATCTAGCATAACGAGTTTTAAATTAAATACCGAGATAAAAGAAATAAAATTGTTGGAATCACTTAATTATAGATAATTAATGAGAACTTGGAGAGTCAAATTCATACCCCTTTGAACGCTTAAGAATCCTATAAGATAATCCGCGTCGTAAAGCAAATTGGACCTGCCGCTTGATCTCCTCACTAGGAACATTGTACTCCTGGGAAATATAGTTACTAATTTCCCGCGATGTCGAACCTTGTACATCTTGCAACCTACGTATAGCGTTTACAACCAGGGCTTCAACCTTTGGAGTTCGCCTGACGGGCATGTCTACCAATTTTAGCAAATATTCTTTAGCATACTTTGTGTACATAATTGCGTCATCTTGATCAGCTTTATTATTGATACTTATTACTCATCAAAAACGTATGCAAAACCGATGTGAAAGAAGGTGTTATTATTTGCATAAATATTAATTTTGTTAAAAGAATATTTATAGAGGACTTAATGACTTCTAAGAATCTGCTTAGATATAGGAATATCTATACCTGCGTTGCGTAGAACGTGATAGGAATATATTTAATTATACTTCCTTTTCGAGAATACGTATCCATTAGATAAACGTCACTATAAAATGTATATTTAACAATTTTAAATTATTTTAAATTTCCTGCATTTTTTTTACTGATAGTTCTAATTCGGCACGTCAAATTTTCATTGATTTCAACAAAACGGTATCCAAGGGGAATGATCGTCATTCTCGTGATCGCAGTGTCATTGTTTTTCCGATTTTTTAAAATTTAAATATCGCTATTTATAGGTAGATATAAAAACATAATACATAAATGATTCATTACTTTATTATACGTTATAGGATACTAATTACGTAAAATACTCTGAAATGTTATTATGGACTTCATAACAAAGATATCCTCGCAGGAAAGAAATTATGAATTTAGAATAATTTCGCATTTGCCATATGCTCTTTACCGGTTTCCCTTGAACTTTGTTCCTACCTATCTGACATAGACTCGTAATCGAACTTACAATCAAAGTACGGCGATGAAACTCTTCGCGAATATAAATTACAGGCGAATCGAGTATTTGTTTAATGACTAAAATATTTCAAGTTCATTAACAATTGGCACACTTAAATCAATATTTACGTTACCAGTCTGCTAAGCTAACATCAGCGAGAAAAACATTGAAATAAATTATATATTATGCATTTGAATAGGGGTAAATAAATTACCCCTACAAATTAAATTATTTTTATGTAATTCTCTAAATAATTATTATATTTTCTTCTGAGTCTAAATTCTTAGATTCTTAAAATTCCAGATAAAACGGATATTATAATGATTTAATTTGTCACTTAATTAAATCATATTTAGAATGAATCTCGGTAGCATAAAATCATTATTATTACAGGAAGGAAAATATATTATAGGCTAAAATGTCTATTTGTAGCAAGCATTCGCGTTCCTTCATTTTCTTCGTTCCTCTCTCTTTTTCTATCGCGAACAGAAATAAAACAGCGTAAAATGGTACCAGAGTAGCATGTCAGATGTTTGGTGCCGTGACAGTTCAGAATTCTTTTCTTATACCTTTGTAAATATAGTCCTCTTCCGGCTATTTGAATCTTCTGATCAAGGCGATATCGAATTATTGGCTGCGATATTATCTTTCAATATAAACCATCGATATTGGTTATCAATATAATTATATTTTCGCGTGATATATAATTGATATGATAAACACGTATCTTATTTTAGAAATATATTAATATTTTGTATTTTAAGCGACATCAAAATTTATTTTTTATTATAGGATTTCATGTTCTGCATATAATTGGAAGCACACATGTTTAAGTTATCAGCTGATTTTCCTATTACACGATATAGTATTGTAGTACAATAACGAAAGGTAAGTATGCCTTATCACGCGATCGGCGCGACTTATCATCTTATCGATAGTGTTGCAATTATGAGGGCTGCCAGATATAACATGCTTTATTAGATATTATATTGCAAATACAATCAAAGTCATTATGTGCCATTTGACTAAAAAGAAAGAAATATACATCATTTGAAGCGCTTGTTTATCGATATGTATGTGGTTATTTATATATAGTGTCTCAAAATTACCGTGCATTCTTTTTATTTTTAGTAAATTATAAAATTTAAAAACGCGATTTTCTTCCTTAGCTTTATGAAAACAATAGTTTTTTTAAATAACAAATTTTAATTATTTCTTTTTCTTCAATGTAATTTAGTATTTAAAAATCTCCAATTAAATAATCTTGGAACATATTAGTCTATTAGAAAAAAATATATTTCTATTTAATAAATATATAAAATTATATATAATTTTATATAATTACATATAAAATATTTTTTCACGGATATATTTTTTACGTAATTCTAAAATGCATTTTGTGTTATATTTCATAATTTTTTAATTGTACCTCAAGATTTTTGTTAAATTATGAAAGCTTACTACAAATTGTTTCAAGAATTTCTATACGAAAACAAGCGTGAGGAAAATAGTTATTTTCTACATGTATAAATCCTATAAATTCTATATATGTTTTTTTCAATAGTCTCGTGGGCTGATGTATAAAAATTAAATTTGTTTCGAAATAAAAGACGAAAGATCTTACGGTAAATTACGTTAGAGTAAGTTCCTGCAGAGTGCAGCACGGATCGCATATAGACTCTGCTGGCATCTGGTACCGCTTCGAGGAAATTGGTTTCGCCAAAAGTCCGTCATTGATACTATGCTCGCAACGATAACATAGAAATCGTCAATGCCCGAACCTGATAGCTACTCTTTTTTTTTTTAAATCTATTACTCTTTTTTTTATTCTACTCTTGCCCTGATAATATTCAAATGCTATTGATAGTAATTAAAAACTTACACAAAATTAAAAAAAATTCGAAATTAAATAACTAAAAAAAGTAACAAATGTATACAACGATAGATCGTGACAATGGTCTTCTTTAACATACGTCAAAATGCATAAGAAAAATGACAGGAAATTATCTATAAATTGCTAGAGAGACGATATATATGCGTTCTCCAAGCATTCACCTGCGCGTGCAAGGGCACCGGACATACGGATCGCACACATAAACAATTGTAGTCCATCGGTGTGCTATGTACTGCGCGTTTGTCACACGCGACACACACGCACATTCCCGTGCAAATGATGATTACTGCCGGTGTATCAATGTTATGTGCTCAATAGCGATGGAAACTAGCTCCAGCAAAATTTTTACCATATTTGCGCTGCTTATAATTGCGCTCTTATAATTTATTTAACCATATATATTGAATTGGTTGACTTTATTTCACCCAAAATGTAATCCATTTTCTTATTAATATTTTACTTAAAAACTTTTCTCTGGTATTTGATGACTTCGTCTGTTAATGTAAAATCTTTTTTCTAAAAATTTTTTTTATTTTTTTAGAACTTTTATGTTGAACCAAACGATATGAGTGGTTTCTATTTAGCAACCTAAATTGACACATCAGTCTATCGTCATTATGTTTTTTTGAAATTCAGTAAATAACAAAGATGAACCGTCATTTGTGTCGACTTGTGTTTCTAAATGGAAAGTACTCATAATCGTAATAAATTCGAACAGACCAGCAGAATTAAATTCGTTTAGAATTTTAAGCGATTAAATGCATTACGTATATATATATATATATGATTGATACAGTGATTAGAAAATAAATTCTATGTGCTTCAAGTACGCTTCAGAGATAATAATCATCACACGCTCGTAAACTGTGCTATCCGCGCAAAATACATATAGATTCTCCAAACTGACAAGAGTGACAGAGAATTAATTTACCAAGTAGGAAATATTTTTATTATTTCACGACGCACGTGTATAAGTGCACGCCGTTAACGTGTGCCCATTGTTAGCATTTTCGACCTTGCAGCACGCGAGAATGTGCACGGAGAACAATCGGGACGGTCAAGGAGAACTTACTGAATAATCAGCTTCGCGAGGGAAAATGATTACGCTGCCTATGAATGAAAAGAAGGAAGCCATGAATTTCTGATTGCCGTGCACTTTGTAAACACCGTTTCGGAGCGGAGATCACGAATGACGATGTGCCGTCCGTGGACAGGCAAAAACCTTTACCATATTCGTACCGTCACTTCCTGACGGAATTTTGTGATGAAATCGTAACGATCATGGAACAAAGTCTCCAAAATAAGAAAAAAAAAAAGAATTATATCCTTAGAGCAATCAGATGTTTTTTTAATCACTAAATGCCTGATGTCTATTGCACGAACTTTGTGAAAATTAATGGACCCTGGAAGAATCAGGAGCAATATTAACTCTACATTATTTGCATGGTTTTCTTAACGTAATTACTTGTGTATTTCCAACATCCCAACGTCATATCCTAATTTTTATATTGTTCTTTTCGATCATTTATAACTAATCCTAATTAGTACACGCGATGCTATTCTTTACTGTACACAATGAGTCGTTTGTGTTCCAAATTAATTTTCATTACTTTTACAAATATACAAAGATTATTAAGCGATTCCTACATACATTGTAACATTTTTAGAAAGTATTTATAGAATAGAATTGATTCACACTTCAGCATACATAAACTCAGAAGGGGACTTGGTTTACAAAATTTTACTACTTCACATTCATCCAGCCTTTTGTCTACATACTGCGCTAAGCTATACCTAAACTTTCTTTGTATTTATTCCTTCCACGCATTTGGTATTCAAACTATCACAGCCTTATGTACAATACTTTTCTCTATTGCACTTCCATTTACCTATTCTTACCCCGCTACACACACGTCCGTCTTCTCATCTCTTTTACATTCCTACCTTTTTCCTTTCCTGTTCTTTATGCTAAATACTTTCTTTCCGCTCGTCTTTTTTTTCCTCCTCTCTTTCGTCTTTCTTAATTCATTATCTCTATCCTTCCATAATTTCCCTAATATTTTGCTTTTTGTTCTACCTAAATCTTTCTCCCACATCCTCTTTATAATTCTTTCTTTATATATCCTCTCTTAATTCTACAAATCGATCCCTTACTTCCTGACATTCCCTTACACAATGCTCTATACACGCAATCCCTTCTCAAGAATAATACACTTCCAATGGCTCTCCACCAACCAGTGTTTATTTGCTTCTTTCACACTTTAATTTCACCGTTGCTCTAACTCTATCCTCTCTCCTCACTTCATCTAGATTTTTCTTCCTCAGATATCTGAATCTTCTGTCATTTGTCCCTCTTTATATTTTTTATTGTAACATACCTTACTTAATTAAAATTTACGCCGAATATAATAATATGTATAAATAGCATTTATACACGGAAAATTTTATATTAAGTTTTAATACAATTTTAAATTACACTTTACTGTGTCTTATATTTT